AACACCTTCGCCTCACCCTGCAGCCACGACTCACTCATTAGAGTGTATAAGCATACGTATGTTAGCGAATTGAAGGCTAGATCATGCCTAGTGCTGCATCGCAGCTAGCCGACAGCCTCATCGTTCAAACGGGATTGTTCACAAAGCCAGAAGCTCCATATACGGGGTATCCAACGCAAATGCCCATCTCTACCATTGACCATCGCCTGACTCCAGGACAAAACAGTTTGACAAAGGCTGAGAGCATGGGATTGCGGCTTTGCAAAAGGCAATGTGGGAGTGGGGAGCAGCGCTGGCGCTATTCGTAGCTGTTAGAAACAAAGTCCTTCAAAGCAACTGAGCCTATCAAGCACACATATGTGGCGGGAATGTGAAGCAAGGAGTGGTCCATAGAACATCTTACATCAGACTCGTACATTGACACACAAGGAGCTTGCTTCAGTTCATCTTTGTCTAGAACACACCGTCTTTCCCTCGAGCAAAGGAATCTTCTCAGCATTTCCCCCATCATAGCCGTCTTTGCAGTGGACACTTGCCACTTTTGGGCAGACTTGACCTGAAGACCCAATTGTGTGTCAGGTGGCCAAAGAACACTGCGATAGGAGGCAAGCAATTCAATATAGCTCCGTGGTGCCGCAAACCCAAACTTTTGACGCATAATAACAAGACAACTCCTGAAGGCACCTGTGCTTGAAACTTTCGTTCATGCTTATTGGCTAATCCCATGTATCTTGATCTGGGAATAGATCGCTTTTGAATGACTTGCAGGATTGAAGCACTGGTTTGCGCTCAAAATTTGCCAAACAAACTGGCCTATCACAAAAGCCTCCTCCCAGATAAAGAAAGTCTGGATTTTGTGATTGACATCTTCAGGCCTCGTTGACACGATCAGCAACCCTAAGCCTTAAGCCTTTCATTTGAAAGGGCGTATCTTAAATATGGCTTCCTCAGAGCGAACGAATACCTGCACGCTGCCTGTGTCCTCACAAACAAGCTGCGCAGCTGGCAAAAGCATGCATTGAATGCATGCAATGCATGATGATGCTGTTGTCGGTACTGTCACTGTCTGAACCTCTCAAACATCCTCAGTCTAGAACATCCAAATGCACTGTCAAAACTACTCACTACTCAATGAGTTGTGACTGAACCTTATCCTTGCTAGCTTGATGGTCTATAATTCACGACTGTGTCTATGTTTAGGCTATCTCAGATCAATCTGGTATGTTACGTTCCTGGCATGCAAAGCTTGTTGTAGTGACACAAAAGGACAATGACAATGACACGACAAACAACTAAAAACACAGGTGTTCCAAAATACAAGCTCATCAAACTACACCTTTCTACAAAAGATTTCTGCACAAATGAGACACTCAAAGGCTTTCCACTTGTCCATGAGAAGCAAAATCCTACTCATATAGCAACCAATCATTAATCGTATCTGCTGGTCCTGGAGTCCTTTGCTTGCGCTCACAAAGAACGGCATCTGCGACGATTTGGCATCTCAAGCTGCTCCACGACATCAAAATGAATGAAGGTCCACAGGACAGGAACGTCCTTCAAATGCCTATGCAGCACACAAAAGGTCGGTCTGACTGTCACATTGGAATCTGGATCTTGCAACAACTCCATTCCAAGGTTCTTTTTGCATTCTTCCCGTACAAACATTATGAATACATGCGCGGGAACACGACCCAGATCAATCAAGGAAGTCAAATTTAGTTAAAGTTACTGAACTGAACTGCACATATGATCCTTTGCAAGTACACATATTGCCCTGTTCATATCTAATTAAGGAAAGACGTAAGTACAATCTTGCGGGTGCACGGCCCACGTTTCCGAGGAATCAAACACCAGCTGCAAAGGGTTCAAACACTTCTGTTAAACCAGTTGTAGCATGCACCAAGTCACCACGAAGTACGGCACGGCGAATCCAAGAGTACCTCCATCAAAACAAGTATCAAGCATCCCAGAAGAAGCCGTCAATAGATATGAAACAATCTTGATGTTTGTCATGCAATTAACGAGAAACCCAGAAACAAAGGTGCATTGCTATGTTTTGTTCTTGGAAGACCCATTCAATCAACAATTCCAACTGCTCACATTGCCTGGCTCTGCCCTTCAGTGGAAGAAGGCTCTGCCAAAGGAGACAACCTCGAGGGCACTTGTGTTGAGAACCAAGCAAATGATTGACTACATCTCACCTTTGAGGTGGCTACAACAACCAACTGTTGCACTTTGTGCTTCAACATTGCTAGAATGAGTAGACACACTACCTGCAGGTACTGCGACGTTTTTTGATCTTCTCCATCCTGCCTCGCTTTATTTGGACAAAAGCTTTGGACATGCGAGCTACAGTAAGTGCGACGAGCGACTCATCTTGCCAAGTCTTGAAGCTCTCCATGACACGCAGAAGTTCCTTCTCAGGTAGGCAATGCCCAAGCTTCCGCCGCAAACGTTGACAAATGCGTCTCCTTCAAAGAACACACTGTGCTGCTGGAAGGTTGTTAGACATGCTTACATGCTTAGAACCACGATCAGCTCAAACTTTCGTACTCAAAACACATGGCATCATGACATGTGCTACTTACATCTCGAGACCTGCTTGCCTCCGTTCCTGAGTTGTTGTGGAAGCTCTCATGGAACCGCACATTTGCGGAAGGCATACTAGAATGCGTGGAGTGTGGAACCTTGTTTTGTGAGCCGAAGCTTCCTCCCGTGTCCCATGTGCTTTACTTGCAACACACCAGTGTAGTTCCATGACGACTCTATGCCGCTGAAGGTTGGCACCTGACGTTCCTGCACGCGCCAGGTGCACTTGATGTAACTGCCCACCTGACCAATCTGGATCGCTGTCATTGCAAATAATTCAAGTGCTGCAAAGAGTGCAAAGGGCCGTGCTGTCATCGTTCCATCATTTTGCAATAGTGCAATCACACCTTCACTTAACTTCATCTACGAAAATACTAGAGTTTGGCTTGCTTTGGAGGAGGTGCAAAGGATCCTAATTCGGGATGATGTGTGCATTTGCAAGCTGCCTCATCACATCCGGTGGCGATTCATTCCCGACCAAGCGTTGTTTTGTGTGGATCTACTTTGCGGCCCCCAACACAGGAATCTCTGATCCGAAACTAGAAGAAGAATTTACACAGCGCAACATGCCGGCCTCAGAGCACGTAGGACTCGTTCGTTTTGGTAGCGAGGCATGGGCAACACTGGCAAAGTTTCCAAGCTCATAGCACTAGGAACCATGTCAACAACGGCTGGTCAGCCAGGAGTCCGTGCTCGGCTTCTGAGCTCTTCGAAAAGGAAGCAGTATGTCCGCATTTACATATACATATATGGACACACACACATATTGTCATTATTGCTGTTTAAATACAGCAACTCTGAGTTCGCGCACACACACAGCCCAAACGTAATATATACAATTATATACATGTATATTTTGTCTGGCATAGGCCTGGACTTTTTAGTGTGTGCTACTTGAGAGCGCAAGTGCGTATATATATATATAGAGAGAATCAGCGGCCGAAAGGGTAAACTCGTATGTCAACGTCCATGCATGCGTATAAGGAACGTTGAACATCATTGTCTGAGTTACCAAGATCGCAATCAGCGTTTGCGTGATCCTGGGTGCGTCGGGGAGCATGCAGGGGGCAAGCGGTAAAGCGACGGGTGCGTGGCAGGTGTGACAGTTGCAGGACAGTTTTGAGACGTTTGCGGGTGGCAGTTGTTTCCAGGTGTTCATAGCTCTGGCAGCGAGGAACGGAATCAACGGATTCAATTGCAATTCCCAACCACAAGTATTGAAAGTAGAGATTTCTTGAGAACAATATCAAAAAGCGTCTTGGAGGCTTAGCGGTATATGTTGTCGAGAGAAGAGCATATTTCGAGAAACATGTCATCTCTACTGAGAGGGAAGCATATATGTACTGACAAACTATCCTGACCAAAAAATGAAAAAATGACCTGGCATGAAACTTCCGCCCAGCTTTACCCTCTGCCGGAGATTACCTTCGTATGTACAAATGCATGCATCAATGTATGTATGTAATTATGTATGTATGTATGTATGTATGCATGCATTTTTTTTGTATCTGCATGCACGTATGTGTATGTGTATATATATATGTATATATGCATGCATGCAAAGTATGCATGTACAAATGATGGCTACTGATGTTCTTGCACATTCCATATCAATCATGAAGCCTTTTAGAGCATACTAGCGGTGTCTCTTCAGGGTGCTTGCTTGGCCTCTATAAACTAAATCAAGCCTACGTGGCCGTGGAATGGAGACTGAGCAAAGTCTGAGCAAAGGCTTCACTGTGAGGATTGTCTTCGCTGACTGGACGGTGCAATCAAAAACGAAGCCTATGAAAACAATGTCGCAGTAACATAACAAACCAATTTAATTACGTAACAGTTCGGTTCTGGCAATGGGCGTCGCTTTGAAGCCAAGCACGGCCCTTGCACGGCAAAATGGACCTACTTGAAAATTGAAAAGCTGCAAAAGGCACACAGGCGGGTTGAAGCGGGCAGTGTTTCACCACTCCAGCCGTACTCTCCGTTGGCGCACATTGAGGTTGAGCGATCACTGTCTCATGCCTTGAAAATGACGGATTTTGGTACGAGGCATGCGTGATACCCAGTAAAAAGCAAACACATTCAACAAACAAATAAGGAACACAGTAGAGATGTGTGGTTATGATTCAGGTCGACTAGACTGTACTCAAATAAGAATGTAACACATCTGACTCAACCAGTCCCTGCCCATGGTTCACTATTGTGCCCGGTTGTGCCCCAAGTAAAACAAAGATCCCGGGCCAGAACCTCGACAAGGCCGACAAAGGAGGCACAAGCAAGAGTGCTTGCGATCTCCTGCATGTGATGACATAGCAATGGCCTCCAACCTAAGAGCGATGGCCTCCAACCTATTGGCAACAAGAATTCGCCCGTACGATACTGACTACTTTGAACAAACCTCAAAACACAACGTTTCAACATGTCTCCTTCACACCCAGATCTTGGATTGGCAACGATTCCAAGGGCTCTAAGAGCTGCCGTGCCTGGAGAGGAGGTGCAACTTTCGACAAGTGAGATCTGTGAACTGTTTGTTCTTGCATTGTTTTATGGTTTTTCTCATGTCAACCATGTTGAGGCTGACATAAACAGTGTTCGGATTCAGGTTAAAGCTGGGAAAAAACAAACACATTTTATGTCTACCAATCTACAAGGAGTGCTGAAGCTGTGGTACTGTGGTACACTTTATTGACTTGCACCTTCACTTGACCTTTAGATATTTGCCACAACATTTCCCTCTGACTTATGTTAAGAAAGTGCGCCTCGGCTAATGTCCACCCACCCGGACGTTGAAAGAGCGTGGTCAACGCATCAGTTGCCACCTGCACGGCCTCGAGGCAAATTCAGACCAGAGGGCCAAAGGGGCTTCAGCCAGACCAAAAGAACGTCATGGATAAGCTGTATCAAAGGACCAAGCCATTCTTCCGAACTTGTTTCTGGATAGGTATAACTATTTAAAATGAGATAAATGGTTCCATCTTTCTTCGGAGCAAAAACACAAACGCAAGCACATGCCTGATCATCTTGCCTTGCGCAGGCTAAAGCAAGCACGGCTTGTGGTATGTCGCCATCAGCAAGGAATTGTGAGGCTCTCTCCTGCGCACGCTGTCATTACAACCATACTGAGAGATAGTCTGCCTGGGCGTCCTTGACGATCAACCTACAAGCCTCTCAAGAACACGGATGTTTCTTGGAGACTTAGCAAGTCAATGATTAAGGCCATATCATATCATACAAACGCAATACAAAACGTTGCATCTACACAGTGCATGCACAAACAATCTGAAAGGATGAGTGCCTTCGCTGATACCGAATGACAACATACACATTACAATCTTGAGAGTCTTAGCACCCGCACGTGCACACACACACACAAACACACACATTCTGAAACTTGAAGGACGGTGGACGTGGCAAACAATTACGGTTTGTTGCTCAAGCTTCCTAGGTGGGGGCACCTGGCCTGCAAGGAAAACCCCTGCCATGATAGACGGTGGGCTAAACTGTAAAATATCCATGCAAGCACGGGCAAACATGCGGCGACAATAGGCTGGTTTTGATTTCGATAGGGCTTGGCTCCGTCGGGTGAGTTACGGACTGCTTGCAGCTGCTTGCTTTTGGTTTGATTTGTCGCCCCAAATGGCTCTGATTCTGATCACTTTGGCTTGTCGCATTTTAACCGTTTTGTGTACTGACTTAGATCGATGAAGTGAACGGCATTTGGACTGAAGACAGTTCACACATTACATGTGTTACTTTGTTCCTTGCAGTCTGAAGCAGTGTAGTGCACTCCAGCATTCGACAGAAGCTCCAGCCTGCTGGTCTGAGCGCGTCATTGCCACGTAAGCTTGCAGGACCTCCTGAGTCTCACTGTGCTTTTGTTCATATATCTTTGCTTTAATAACACGCCCGAAAACTGGGATTAGAATGTTCTGCAAACTCTCACAGGGAACCCTAAAATGCCAGAAAAAAAGCAGCCAGTTTGTTTAGCAAATCTCTAGCTCACGTGCTAGTGGTGCCATGTTGCCGTGTGCATCTACAAGCTACAAACAAAAACATAAACACCAAGGGTCAAATTCAGCTGTATTTAGCTTAGAATATGAGTAACAGTCAGGATCTTTTGAATTATGCTTATATTGTGTGGCTGAAGGTTGCCAGGATTTGGTGAGTGCATTATCGTTTTCCATGTCCCTCACTTTATCGTTTTTGGTGAGTGTGTTATCGTTTTTGAGCAACACATGCATATTGAGATCCAACAACCACTAACCGACCAAGTATCACTTTCATTCATATTGACCCTAGCTGATGTGTAGCTCTTTGTATCTCAGCTCTTTATCGAATCAACCAAGAGCTAAATTAGATTTGGAAAAACAAATTGAATTTGAGTTTCGACATAGTTGCAGTTCAGTCTGGTGTGGTTGTGCAAGGCTTTTCCGTATTTTTCAGCGTTGAGTTGCTATATTAGGTTCACAACTCACTGACTTGCCACGCAATCAATGCCTTTTTTTGCTCCACAAAGGCCATCCATGCACTTGATCTTTGTTCAATTGCTCACGCAAACACTCAAACAAACGTTATTGGACCATGAGTGGAAGAAAAAAGGGCCCTGTAAATGTTTGAACGGTTTGGGCATTAGACGGCCTTACTTTCCAAATTGTTCGCTTTGGTTACTTTGGGTTTTAATTTTGATTTGGCATCTCCTCTTATCCTCCCACTTCTGTCGTTTGCCTCTTTCTCCTCCTCTGTCTCCTCTTTCTATCAGGCAGTATCTCCTCAAGCATCAATCAATCTCACATCACCAGCGAACATGCTCATCGTACCAACTAATTTACACAACAAACTCATCTAGCACCAGCTCCTTAAACACAATTCCAACTCCAACTCATGTCACACGCCAACCTTTCGGACCCATCGTAAAACGGCCCAGCTCGCACAAGTTCATCTCGTGGCGAATCTAACGGCAGGTGCGTTTGACAGTTGCTTGTGACGTTGTTAGTCTCACTTTTGACATAGTGGATATTCAGAGAATGCACAGAATGAATACTGTATGCTGTATGGTTGCCGAAAGGTAAGCAATACGACAAACGAACAGAAGGTGCAAGCACAAACTTATACTGTTGAGTCTCGTCATGTGAAAAGTGCCTCGTGAACTTCCCGTCGGGATGTTTGGCCATTGAATTGCCACTCTTGTATCATGGAATAGAACATGTATCGTATGATTGGACTTCACCAAACAGCACCCCAAAAAACTGCATTCGTCAATCTGTGTTTCCGACCCTTTCTATTGCACACAAGTCACACGCGTGTGATTGTCCAATGTTGGAGACAGTCAGTTGTGAAAACACCTCTCCATGCCACACAAAATTTATTGGACAACAAGCTCCAACAATATCTTGGGCTAGCGTTCTCTTTTCCCAATGAGACAAAAACTATTGTGCCTATACATATATATAAATATATATGTGCCAGATTAACATTTACATAACTGTTCAAAAAGTAATATATACATATGTATACATAGGATAGTTGTATGAAATCCTTCAGCCTCATACTAAGAAATCTGAAATCAAGTGCAGCTCCACTACCACACTGGCTTGTCATGGTCAAAAGCTTTTAAAAACTGACCAGACGAATTCCGCAACTGCAATTCAATTTTGTGTGTATATATATATATACTATATAAACATGCTACACCCCCCCAAAACCTACCTTTTAGACAACTTCACTGGTATTTGCACTGATTTGGTGAGATTTCAGAACACAAATTGAACAGCACATTTTTGACCATATTGTTGCGCAGATGTAACCGTCTTCAGAATGTTTCTTGCTATGTTTGAGTGCTTGTTTCTGGATGGACATTGAAAGAATGACGTTGGAATTTGCAAAATTTGTTGCCAGTGAATGTTAGAGCTTTTTGTTGAGAGAACATTTCAAAGACAGCAGGGCACACTATGCTGCAAGCAAGGTAATGACTTTTTTTGGCCGACGCTGGAGCATGAGTTCAGGCTGCTGAGACAAACTTTGCCAGCTCACAGGCGCACCGAGCCAGTCAGCTTCCAAAGGTCTTGGCCCATATGCCAGTACTCATACTGGGCAGACCTAATCTGGGCCTTAAGGGTGGCAAACCCGACCTTTGAGTTTGACTGCGCATGGATGCGGTCCTTGAGGAACCTCCACGCCCTGTCAATGACCTGCGTCCCTGCCTTGACTCGCATTTTTCGCCAGTCTTTGGGCACTTGTGGACTGCAATGCGAACGTAGATAGGAGCTTGCCATATGAATTTCCCTCTCACTTTCATCCGCTTCTTGCAATGGCGAACATTTTCGTGAAGGACGCCCTTGACCTTGGCTTTGTAGGACTTGGCAGCATCGGTGTGCAAGATGATATGCCTGCCTCCCAAATGCTTTTTGGCCATAGGGTCCCATTCGATCTTCCGAATGGCCCCAGGACCTGGAGCTCGCTTTGCCGACGTCTTGGGGATGAAGGAACGCCGCGCTGCGCCAGCCCACACCACTGCTCCCATTCAATCGGGTTGGCAGGCTCTGAAGCAGCAGCGCCCAAATCTTTCTTGTCGTCTGCCTCCACGTCTGCCCAGGCACGGCCATCTAGGTAATATTCCGTTCCTTTGCTTCCACTCATCTCCTTCTTAAATTTCGAAGCTTCTTGCTCATGTCTGCAAGGGCTTTGCGGTTGAAGTCCAAGAGGTGGTGAGCAACGGTGTGAGGCACGCGGAGCAATAGAAGAAGCAAGGTTGCAGCTTGCTTCTGCAAAGGGGAGCAACTACTGCCCGTTCCATCCACAAAGAGGGGCTGAAGGTGATGCGGGTTCACATAGACCTGGCACCCTTTCCGGTTGCACCGGTGCTGGGGCATTGAACCTCCGAAGTTCTGGAGAGAAGAAAGCTTGCCCTTGTTGCATCTAGGGCAGATCTTTTCCCATTTTGGAAGTAGATTGTGTGCTGGAGGAGTGTCACCAATTCCGCATCGCTCTTGTTCATAAGATCCCACAAAGTTATTTGCCACAGGCTCCTGTCATGTCTCCGCCCAGTATGAGACCAAGGAGTTCGAACATACTTGATGTTCTGCCAATTCTTGTCCTTGGTGGAAGCAGGGCGCCCCAGAACTGAACGGCCTTTGCCATGCTTGGGCTCAGGGTAGGGGTTGAAGCGAGGCGCCATGGCTGGACAGCTAAACGCGGGAAATGCCAAGCGCGCAGCCTGAAGGACAGAACGCTGCCGAACACGCAAGCGCCTATGAAAGGCGACTGTGAATGCAAAGCATCGCAAAGGAAACAGCGCTGACTTTTGCATGACCAAGACGAAATCATGAAGGGAGACAAGCTTGGGAGACAAGGCGGCAGCGGCAGCCAAGAGCGAAATCATGAAGGGAGACGAGCTTGGGAGACAAGGCAGCAGCGGCAGCCAAAAGCGAATTCATGAAGGGAGGCAAGCTTCACAGACAAGGCGGCAGCGGCAGCCAAGAGCGAAATCAATGAAGGGAGACAAGCTTCACAGACAAGGCGGCAGCGGCAGCCAAAAGCGAAATCATAAAGGGAGACAAGCTGAACAGACAAGGCGGCGGCGGCAGCGCCAGCCAAAAGTGAAATCATGAAGGGAGACAAGCTTAGGAGACAAGGCAGCAGCGGCAGCCAAAAGCGAAGTCATGAAGGGAGACAAGCTTGGGAGACAAGGCGGCAGCGGCAGCCAAAAGCGAAATCATGAAGGGAGACAAGCTTGGAAGACAAGCCGGCAGAGGCAGCCAAGAGCGAAATCATGAAGGGAGACAACCTTGGGAGACAAGGCGGCAGCGGCAGCCAAAAGCGAAATCACAAAGGGAGACAAGCTTCACAGACAAGGCGGCAGCGGCAGCCAAGAGCGAAATCATGAAGGGAGACAAACTTGGAAGACAAGCCGGCAGAGGCAGCCAAGAGCGAAATCATGAAGGAAGACAAGCTTCACAGACAAGGCGGCAGCGGCAGCCAAAAGGCAGCAGCGGCAGCCAAAAGCGAAATCATGAAGGGAGACAAGCTGAACAGACAAGGCGGCAGCGGCAGCCAAGAGCGAAATCATGAAGGGAGACAAGCTTGGGAGACAAGGCGGCAGAGGCAGCCAAGAGCGAAATCATGAAGGGAGACAAGCTTCACAGACAAGGCGGCAGCGGCAGCCAAAAGGCAGCAGCGGCAGCCAAGAGCGAAATCATGAAGGGAGACAAGCTGAACAGACAAGGCGGCAGCGGCAGCCAAAAGGCAGCAGCGGCAGCCAAGAGCGAAATCATGAAGGGAGACAAGCTTGGGAAACAAGGCGGCAGAGGCAGCCAATTTCCGCAATCAGGAACCCATCCTTGGGAAATAAGAACCCCTATAGCTTCGCTATCTGGGGGAAAAACAGCCACCAAAAAAGCAAACCATTTTTTTTTGGGCTTACTAGTAGTAACAGGTGCCACGCTAGTAATTAGTAACAAGTGCCACGCTACTAGTAACAAGTGCCACGCTAGTAGTGACCCCCCCCGAAGATCAGGTTCTTTGCATTCTCTTCGATTCGTGTGGAAACTTGTCTAAAGTGGCGCTTTTCGTAGACGTGGAAAACACACACCCGTATAACGTCCTTTTCTGAAATAGATATATATATATAATATATGTATATATATATGGTACTCTTCTTTCAATTGCCTGATAGATTATCATCCCCAAACATGAAAGTGTCTGAAGGGTAGTTCTATTTTTTGGGGGGTGTACCATAAATATATATATATTATATACACTGTATGTATCTGTATGTATTTTTGTAGAAATCTGCAGGGCCAAAGCATAAAAACATATTAAAACTATGCCAAAGGGACTGGATAGCCGTGTCGTGCTGCTAGCAGTGGAATCTGCATAGTTGGACCCTGCGCAAGCGCTGTGGACTAGAGAAGAACGACTTTGCGAAAAAACAAGTGCTGCACCCACCCCACTTGCAACCACAATGGCGTTGGAGCTTATAGATGCAATGGTTGGTAAGGTGTGTTTGCTTGGATGCGGACAATGAGCAGCATAAATGGAAAGCATCTTCCTGTTGCCTGATTTAGACAAGAAGACCTTCTCTGACCACATGGGCCAGACTTCGGACATGGTGTTGGCGGTTTGAGACTCGTGGAAACCTGTGCGGTTTCGATCTGCCTTTGCTTCATAAACTCATAAATTTATCTGATCATGTCAAACAAACTTTGCTCTGAAGCAGCTCCCCCGCCGCAACTGGCAAAGTATGAGTCGCTATAAAGGGGGTGGAACTGCTGACAAATGCCAAGATGGTATAATAGTATAATACAACCCTGAACAAGTGCTTGTCCGCCTGCGGATGCTGCAAAAGGTACTCTGCAGCCACTTCAAGGCGCATGTCATGCTCTGCACTCATTGAAAGAAACTTCAAGAGCAAAGGATCCTGCGGTGCGGAAAGGAATGGCCACGAAATGACCTGAAAGGCAGAAAGCCCAGCATCGTAAGCATATCCGCATGCCATGCTAAATCATGCAATGGACACAACAAAAGCAAGAAAAGGGTCAGTCTACCAGTACACCAAGCAACTGGCAAGAAAACACTGCCAAAGGCAAAAGGGCACACCCAAACTCTAACGTGTGTCCTTTTGAAGATCCAAAAGATCGGCCAGAACAAAGGCTAGGACGACCTGCAAAAATCATCAAATGATCAGCACCAAATAACACGTTTGTTGCTTACTCAATTAGCTCAACATGACCCCTGGTCCACGTCTTTATAAACTGTTCGCACAGCTTGTTGCCATGCGAAATAAACGAAACTGAAAAGGGTTCCAGGTCATCCAATTCCAGGTAGCTTTCGGACAGCTCTCCAGTCAGGTTGCTTGTATCACTTACAACATAGTACTTGGTTGTAGTTCCATCCCTGTTTTGCACTCGCTTTGAGCTCGGCCGCTCGCTTTTTTTTCCACTGGCAGAGATATGTCTAAGCATCCATCTGGCACGCTGGCAATGGATGTTTCCTGCGCTTCTGACGGATAGACTCATAAACTTGCACGTTGGAAATTGAGATTCTGCTGAACTTGGCTTGTAGGAACATCCTTGTGCGAATGGCTATATTGAGGATGCTGCTGATGTTCGCACCAAATCCGCCGAATTTCAGAAACTTTGGTACGCCGGTACGCCCTCACTCCACGCAAAGGCGGCAAGCGTGGAAAACAAGTGTGGATTAGTGCTTGATAAAAACAGCCAAGCACAAGGGTGATTAGTGCCTTTGGCGATCAGCCAAAAGGCATGCAAGACCTGTGGACTCTGGCACATGGCCATGTCACAGGTCTTCAACAAGCTCTCTGTAGCTATGCCATGCTATACCTATTCATGCTTGGGAGTTGGCAAGTGCAATCGAACCTGCATGTCTTCAGGTGTCACGAAGAGTGTTGCATTGCCACCAGCCAGTTTTCCCGAGTTTTCCACCATGGCCTTGTTCTGCTCGAAGAGTTTCAGCAACAACAAGCGGTCGGAGGTCTCAGGCAATGAGTCATTCAACATCGACATGAAGGACTTCACCTGCTCAGCGAGCTGAACTCCCTTAGCAGCTCCCTCAAAGGAAGCCTTTCGGCGCTCATTCTCTGCCTGTGCTTCAATCAGCTTGGAACGTTGCTGCTCTAAGTGAATGAGCGCCTCCATCTTGGCTTGCTCAACCTCGTTCTCAGACTCCTGAGCACCAAGTAAACATATGCAAAGGCAAAAATGGCAGAACAGGTCAGGTGTTGTTTCACTGGTTCTTGTTTTTCTTTCAACCAGCTGCAACCAAGCAAATCTTTAAGGATTCTTTTCTACCTGACTAACATGGCTCCTGCTTCCTGATCCGGTTGATCTTGTTGGTGGTCTCTTGGTTCACCTCCTGCAATGTTTGCTCCGTCCTCTTATCTGCACAGGTGTATCCAGTGACCTCTACACGATGCACCCGTGTGCCACGGAGCCCATAGAACTCAGCGTCAGCAGTGGTGGCATTCTTCACCAAATCGTTGAAGGATTCCATGAACTCGGCCAAAGTGACCTCTATATATATATATAACTTGGGAGCTCTGTCTGTGCTTCGCTTAGGAAACTGGGAAAACAATAAAAAAACACCAGGGACATCCAGGGACGTGTTTGTTTCCCAACATAACATCTCACTTTTGGGACCTGCCTTGAAAGGAGCTTTCATCTTCCAAAGTGGGCAAATGAATCTCGCTTATATAAATTAAAAGGACCACCATGTGGTGAAAGAGGGAGGCTTCCCAAGAGGAAATACCAATGAACAAAATGGTTTGGCACCTTCCAAAGTGGATTTTGAACAAATAGCAAGCTGGGGTCATAAAGCACCCATCCCAAAAAGTTTGCTCGCATGTAATGACTGACCAACGCACCTTGGAAACGACCTCATTCAGCACCCGTCGAGTGTTCTTCCAAACGTCCCCCTTGGGGTCGTTGGTGTTGGCAAACATCTTGGGGACATCCTGGATCTGCCAAAAAATGTGGCCCTCCAGGTTCAGCTTCACATTGTCTGAGGTTTGAACCGCAAACATGAATTGAGCATCCTGCCACCTGGTATCAATACAGCTCACTTCTACCAAGAAAGTGGGCTTTGCAGCATTGTTGATCTTGCCTTCTGCCAAATCCTCCGGGGGCTACATCATTCTGGTACGAAGCAGTGCCAGTGCATGTACATCGGGGTTGCAAGGGCAGGATTTGATGACTGCGGCGAATGAGCTTTTTCAGGATGTGGTACTTTCGTGCTGTATCAAAGAATGGTAAAACAAAGACATTAAGATTGCTTTTTGACCTTGAAGTACAGCCTCATCTTAAACTCTGGACTGTGAGGCAACATGAGGCAACTGATTACTGATCTCTGCCAAATTTCCACTAAACTCACTCTCATTAGCCTATAATATAAACCAGTATATATAAATCAGTCTGACATGTGCACAGCTGTACAACATTCTTAGGATACCCAAATGCCCACAGTCAAAAACATGGTGGCAAGCGGTCCAGTATGAACAGGATTTGGTGATGGCTGTTCACTGGCTAACGGCTAACACAAGAAAGAGAGGAACATCATCTTCTATCGAACTCGAACCCTCCTTTTTTACAGCACCGGCAAGTTAACTTATCAAACCCGTATGGCGCATACTGCAAGTGTCTTTCCGTTGAAAACCATGCACCACCACACCTCAGGATTCGCCATCTCCGAATCTACTAGGAACAAGGACGCTACTAGGGGGTCCTGGCTAGGAACAAAGAAGCTACTAGGAGCAAATAGCTAAATTATGCAAAATGTTGAGATTTCTCTCCTGGAGGACACCCCAGCCATGCTCCGTGAAACCCTGTCCTTCTGAGACGTCCCGGAGCTCCAGCGCATGGTGTTGATCTGCTCGTAGGGCTGCAGAAAGAAGGCGGTGCCATTGTTGCCACCATTGATGAACTTCTTCGTGCCGTCTCGCGTGGTCACGATGTACCTGGGTGATGCACTTTGAAAATAGAAACACCATGAAACACTCCACCAATGCCTCTCACCTCCAAAAAATACACTCTGACTCAGCGACATGGAAGTGGAAAGTGGTCCCTTGGAAGACAACTTTCCTGTACGAACGGGGGGGGCTTTCCACTTCCATGTTAGTGAGTCGGATTGTATGTTCCAAAACCGAGCAACGCAAGAGCTATTGTGGTATCACGACCACTAGGAAAGTGACACCGCCCAGTGAACACGGTTCCACTACTTCGAAAGTCGTCATTTGGCCTACGACCTCCTCTGAATCAAGAAGGACGTCAAAAACACTCATGATGACCTTGTGATTCATCAGTACTCATACAATTCCAGGACCACCAAATGCCACCAAGCATGGTCTGTGGCTGAACACTGAGGAACACTCGACATACTCGAATTTTGGCGGGAATTTGGCCCCGCGAGATCCCAGCAACAAAGGACTTTGAAAGGATGGCCTTATCCAGGTGTCTGCCTATGAGCCCTAGGGAAGGACCGGAGAGGCCCCTTGGGAAGGCATATCAAGGCCACAGGTACACATGATGTGGGTCCACCTTGATGATCTTGCTCTCCAGGACCTCGGCGAAACCGAGATTTCCAGGCGATCATGTCACGGCTCAGTGAGCTGGAAAGCAGCCCGACCATCGCATGTACTCACTGCTCACATGAGCGTTATGAGCTACAGCAAAACATCCTCTTGGATACCCGAGCTGCAGGGCCAGTTTGTGGCAAAGTTTGAACTACGTTAGTAAGCCTAGAGATGAAGGAGCTACAGAATATTCCAAGAAAGCATTGATTTCCCCAAGAACTTGAGGCTTCCAAGTCACATGCAATTCACTCAAAATGTGATCTAGGGTGTAGGTCGACCTCCCAGGTAGTCTATTCCGTTCATGATCGGTGGTCAACTCACAACTCCCGGTTTTGACCCACAGCATATTGCCAGTCCGCACGGGTGCCGCCCAAACCGAGACCGCTGGCCTCATCGTCGTCCTCGCTGGGGATGAAGGGCCCCTTCTCCGTGACCAGGCGCCATTGGTCCGCGCCCGCCCTGCGGGAGCTTACAATCACCGCAGTCTCCTCGTCTACGCGTATGGCCTTCTCAACTCCTACAGCTTGGGAGATGGAGAGGTATCGAACTGTCTTTGAGGATAGGGGATCAGCATCGAAATGATCGCTTTTGAATAATTGATGGATCGGGTGTATATTATCCAGCACGATAATCTTGAGAATGCTTTGGACAACCCTCCTAGGCCTAGGGATATTAAAGATTAAAACCATTCTTTGGAGTAACCAGAAGCTACTAGTAACAAAGGGCATCGCTACTAGGAGCAAGAACGCTACGAGGGGCTCCTGGCCTTACTACTAGGAGCATGGACGCTACGAGTAACCAGCTCGACTCCTTTGATGGAAAACTCCATGGCTTCAGGAAAGACCAACTGCTCACCTTGGAGCACACGTACACCGCCCTTCTCATCGAACAAGCGCACAAACTGGCCCTTCAACAGGTTAAAGGCCTCCTTCTCACGCCCTTCAAAGCTCTGTTGAGGTCCTGGGAACACCAAGCCTGGCCCGGTGAAACGCGTCAACTCCCCGGACTTGTCCCTGAGCAGCACGTACTGATCCCTCTAATGACACCGCTTTTTCGATCTGAGCTGTCCCTTCGTCTTGGGTCGACGTGGGAAAGACGATCTTTTCTCCTTTTTCCACTGTGATGACCTGAGTCACCTTGTCCCGGAGCTTCACAAATTCATCCTTCTGCAGTTGAAATCCCTTGCGAGGCGTACCCATCTTGTCATCTGGCTCGGGAAAGAACAGCGTCTCTCCGACGATGATCCTGAGCAGTTCAAAACACAGCCTTTCTCTGCTTGTTAGTTTAATTCGGCAAAATAAAAATGACCAACAAAAAGCAAACAAGCAAACAATCTGTGCATCAAAATAGATCCAAGAGCTGTGAGCTGGCAGAAAGACACCCGTACCCGTACCCCAATAGACCGTCCAAGCCAAAGCTTTCGGTAGGGATCGCGTAAACTTATTGCTGATGCTTGTCAGTAATTGTACCATCTAATTACATCTAATTGGTTGGCCCTTGACCTCCTGAACATCTACTTTCACACGCCCAAGTCTCCTCTCCTCTCCTGTCACCGTGTTCTTAACACGCATGAAATCCTCCTTCAGCAAACTCACTCCTTCAGGGTAGTAACAAGTGCATCGCTACTAGTAACAAGTGCCTTACTAGTAGTAACAAGAAGCTATTAATTTAAATTTGATTTAATTCTAATAGCTTTTTGTTCCTACTAGTAAGGCACTTGTTACTACTAGCGTGGCACTTGTTACTAGTAGTAACAAGAAGCTATTAGGTAATTTAATTGCTCACTCCTTCAGGGTCACCAGACTGCTGAGCACTGACCTGGGTTCCTTCCGCCTAGTGTTGCACCTGGGGACTTGAACCCATGTCCGACGCCGCAGGGGACGATGTCATGGCCACTATAGACCATACCGTACCAAACCACAGCACTTCCTGTGTCAACAGGAATCACCTGAAAAGTCCGAAAGAAAATAGCAAAATGTTTGGAAGATCTAAAATAAAATCTTCCAACTTCCTGTGCTTCCGGTCCTTGACCCTGTTCCATCAACTCTTCGGTTGGGCTGGGGACCACAACCTTGCATCCGGGTCCAAAGGATCCGATCGAAGCAATAAAACGCATGACAGAGAGCAAAACAAAAATTAAATGGAAAACACATAAGAACAACCAGCATCTTAGGATATCTTAGGCATATTGTATTTTTATTGTGTCCTTGTCGCCTCTGTTTTGCATATGTTGTTTTGTTTTAACTCTTGTTTTCTTGCCTTGTTGTGCTTCCTTTGCGAGTCTTTGTGACCATGTCGGATGTCACATGAATTGGAGGGATGTGCTTACCCCAGGATCCCAAATACCTCTACCCGGAATGTTGAACATCATTGGCCAAGGAGTGGTTCAGTGGCCAACTCCCCTGGTGAAGATGTGCCTGGACAATCTGCAGGGGCTTAGGAAACATCAAGCCGGGAACCCTTCTCTAAGCAAAGTCCTTGGTCCTCCAAACCCTCAAAACCCACATACAGTAAATTACTCAAGCACATTCCTTGAAACGATTTGAAGGGTAGAGTCGATATCGATACTGTTACTGAACATCAACAGTTGAACAACCCCTAACAGAACCGGAAAAAAAAACACATATATAATATATCACCTGGATAAACAACTTCATCAACCATCAATCAGTTCCTCTTCCAACCCCAGAGCTGGCCTGAGGACCGCGAAGCACCCGGCGCTCACCAGTCTTCTTGTCCATCAACTTCACGTAGGAGTTCTTCTGCAGGACCATCTTGCGTAGAGGCTGCGACACAGACTCATAGGCACCGAGGAAGAAAAGTTGGGGGCCTGGAAGTGTCTAAAAACAAACATCTCAAGATCTGTTCATTGAGAAGGCAGTGAAACCTACATCATTTCTTGCACAAAGCAATTCTTCTGTCCATAGACACAAATTGAAAGTCGCCTTCCACCGTCCTCATGGACCCCGTCATTTCATCAGTGATCACCACGTACTTCTCCTCCTCAATGATCATGGCACGGCGGCTCTGGGCACTGGCTACGAGCGGCACAAAGAAGGCCATGCCCGGGCCGTTCACCACGTACTTGTCGGTGGGATACTGAACCAGAAGCTGCTGATCACGCTTCAGGAAAGCAACCCCAGCGAAGTGAAAGCCCAAAGCAGCACACACAGCAAAGCTCCCTGTCAACAAGGCACATATCCCCCCACAGATCAAGCCGCAGGTGTGACGGTTCATGCGAGACTCCATGGCTGGAAGCAATGGCTGCTCTGCATCCTGCATGGCTTGAACTATATAAGTGGCTCATGCAGGTTATGTTGGATCCCGTGGCAACAAATTGGGCCTATCTTGAAACAATCAGGGCTTCTGAGGCACCTGTAGGCGAAAGCGTCTCCGCACCTCTGAAGACAACATGTCGCAAACCACCTGCTTATCCCGTAGTTGTCAAGCCATTCAACATGTTCAGTTCCTTCCAAAAGCAAACATGACACCACATAACACCTTGCCTCAGAGGATCGGGATAAAACACTCAAGGCACGGCTCGACTTGGAGACGGCAAGGTGGCACATCGCGGCCTTGGCAACTCAGGGCCTCCTGGGCATCCTCTCTCTGCACCGGACATGTGCAAGGCTGCCGCTACTGCATCTGGGTCCAAAGGACCAGTTCATTCCTAATAGCAAAACAATATTACCGTCCTTTTCTTCCTTTCTTCCTTTTCTTAGCGTCCTTGCTCCCACTTTGCAACGCTCCTTTTCTAACACGGAGGCGTTTGCCACTGCACTTGATCTTCTCGAGTGTTGGCGACCTTGTGAAACCCCGCAGTAATTGAAGCTGTGGGACCCGATCAATGGTTTTGGATGCTAAGGTAAACCCGTGTTCGTTGTGCTAACTACCGCTGTTACACGCAAAGACATGCAATGAGTATGCAACAAACACTTTAGATTTACTTTATATGCGGGTGACCAACTCCAATGCCTGCAAATGCAGCGATGCATAAAGAAACACTCTGTCGGGGCTCTAAGATCAGCTCAACACGTTGACGCACTATGTTCGACACATTCGGACGGTCTCAACTGAGCAGCAAAGGCCGTGCGGCCAAGTTTGCGACAAAGCCAGGGACAGCCTTCGCGGGTCGGGCTCACGGAGACTTTACAAAGCTGAAACCCTATCGTGAGTTTCCGACCTTCATCCCAAGCTGTAGCTAGTGCAAACTCTCAGACGTGCACTATGCAAAGCAATACACAGGATAAAATACATTCAAAACTGATGCTCATCGTCCAACAAGCTAACAATGAGATAGGTTCATCCTAACACCTCGCTGCCCAATTGAGGCAGTCCTGCCCAGCGCTGCGGAAAGACTCTGACAGCATTCGCGCATACTGAACATCCTGTCCGTCACGCGACTTTCAAACTTCCTACAGTGGACCTCTGGCGGGCGGTTGTTCACATCTGAATCTCAACACACATCGGTATTCTAAAAATAGACATAACGACTATGCTTCGGAATCAGGTCATGCCAAAGCAAACACACATTGTCACATATATATATAATATATTTATGTAATATATAAATATCATAGTATATCACCACATATGAGATAAGCTGTATATACTCAACTCCCAATACATCTGAGTTGACCCTATAGAAAAAAACACCAAAGCCTGCTTGGCTGATATTGTGGGTACATTCGTGCATATGTATACACAATACACAGAGTATCTCAACAACAAGAAGTGTGAGCGCTGGGCACCAAGGGAGAACCCTTCTCAATCACTCTTCGAATCTCAGCATGGTGCGATCCTCCGGCTCAAGCAAAGAATAAGCATGACCACGCTGCCCAGCACGCCCGGTGCGGCCAACTCGATGCACATGGGCATCCAACGAGACCTCTAGGACAAACACGCTCTTTTCAGCAAAAGATGTCTCTAAAAGGAAGAAGAAAAGGTGTTTGGTCTCACCGAGGGCTATTTGTTCTTGCCCTTTCTTCGACTTATTCAAAGCATTGTAGAATCCTGTACAAGCCGCACAACAATCAGAATGTCACTATTTGTGATAGCTAAAATGGCTCTGGTCCACGTGAACTAGTGGAATCGTACAGTTTGTGAGCACGGCACAGTTTGGCTTCAAAGTGGTCGGACTTCGTTGCATTTCGAGAGCTGGTGAATTGCGGGTACAGCAGCGAAACGCTGCATCAAATTCAGTGAACTAAGCATACAACAGGCGATTCATAGTTCACCACGACCAAAATACCTGATTTGTGGCGATCAATAGCTTTGCATGTCTGCAAAAAAGCAGCAACTGTTCCGTTCTAAGGGTCTTCAATTATCTATGAGTTCACCTTGTAAACCTGCACGGAAGCTGAGTGTGCATCAAGCATGAAAAGCCCGAAACGAATGCACAGTCTGGCACAGCTCTCTGCAAGAAGGCAACACCACACACAATGAAATTGATTCGGCTCCCGAAATTCTGGGCCCACCGGAGATGAATAATCTAAATCTAAGTCATGTGTTTCGGTTGTTACAAAGGTTCGACTGCTGTTTTGGGACCTGTCTCTGCGACCGATAAAGGGCACGTTTGAGATCAAGGCCGCGAGCTGCCACATCAGTAGCGACCAGAATCTTCCTTGAGAGACACGTGGAGAAACTAGAGGCAAGATGAGACAAGAGTCAAAGGCAACAAAAGAAGCCTCGAGTCTATGGGACTGTAGCAAGTAAGAGCATGTGGGAAACGAAGCAATGGTGCTGAGGCACTTGCAGTAAGGCTTTCTTGCAAGGTTGTGCTACAGTTACCTGACAAACCTACGAGCCAAGGAAGTCCCTAAGGATCTGCTCGATTTACTGATCCATTAATTGTATAGTGTGCCCCACGGGTTCTTTAATAATGCTGCTAAAACACAGCTCTTCCTTTCGGAATTGCTCCATAACCTCTATTCGCTCTTGCTGCATCAAATTCCCATGAATGGCACCACTGGCGAATGACTCCTGGCGAGGTTGCCAATTGATTTCAATGCAACAAAGAAAGGTTGAAGATTTGTCAGGAGGCATTGATTCGATGCCGTTCTGTATTGCTGTCCCGCATGCGCTTCGTATGCCTCTTGGACTCCTGTAGGAGGGGGTTCGGAGCAGTTCTTGGATCTTACCTTCGCTTGATGCAACTATATACTTAAAATCATATTAAGTAGTTTAAGTCTAAGTTCACTTTAAATTCAATTTCAATTTTCCTCAGCTGGCCTCACGCAGCCAGCGGTTGAGGGATGCTGCGGTCTTCCTGAAGGCATGAAGCTACGGTCTTGATCTGGGTCAATGAACATCTATATACCAGCTGCAAATATGACTAGTTCACCTCCTTCAGTAGCTCCAAATCGTACCCTACTCTACTGTTCCAACTACAAGTAAGGAATTCAACCTGCGCAATATAAGTTGATTTAAGTCAATAGAGCCCAAGCACGAGGCAAGAAGTGTGCGTTTCGATACCAATCCAAATCACCCACTGAAGTCGGTTCTTGAACCCATGTGAACACAGCCGACAAAATGCATGTTTTTGGCTTTAGTGAGGATAGTGCTGCCCAGAAGCTTCAAGGCACAAAAAATGATGCACGCCTGAAGCTCCAGCAGGGTCAACACGTGTTTCATGTTTTGCTGTCTGTCAAGAGTCAAGAGCCCAGGGCACAACGAGAATGATGGGATGTGGAAACACCATGTCAGATTGGGTTAATGTGCGCTTTTGAAGATGTTATTGTGTGCCTGGTTCGGGTGGCTCTGCAAGATCGTCTTCAGCTCTTGGAAGCGATCACCCGTCAAAAGCCTGCGTCACATTCTCGAAGTGCGAACAACAATGGAACTGTTGGAACCCCCAAAAAGACCATACCAAACAAACTTGCAAATAGAAATTACATGAAATTACAGTAAATAAGAACGAATAATAAAATACAGGAGGAAGGTGGAGCATGAAACAACGATTCATCTCAGGACGTCCTTCGGGAGCGTCCTTCCTTCGAAGTCCTTTGACTCAGCAGTTCGTGCTGCTTGCACATATGTCCCTCAAATCCAAAGGAAACCCAACGCAGCCAAAACCATGTCGGGCCTCACATGCTGCTCAACATCTCGATTTCCAGAGATTCCGTCAGATGCTCCGACCTCAAACCACTCTTGGAGCTTGCATACACATCTGAGGTCAAGCGATTGAGCTTCATATTGGTGAGAGCTGAGCACTATACACTTCCTACATCAAATTATATGTTGTTCTCACATACAAGCGGACGCAATATACATCTACAAACTCTCAATGTTGCAGGCCAAAAGAGGGGCCGCTAAGCTCATCTAAAAGTAATCGTTTCTTTTCTTTGCAAAAACATCCAAGGGAAGGACCAAATCAGCCCTTTCAGTATGGTTCACACAGTCCACACATCTCACTGTCTGCGAAGTATAACTCAAATTATCAATACAATCCAAAGGGCCTTGATGTGAATGGCGTCTGGGAGTAATTCCTTTGTGAGCGCCTGTACCTGGCTTGTGCCCACATCGAACATCAACGAGTGCTGCACCGATAACGGTCTTCTGGTCTTTTGCCACCGTCCAAGCCCTTCAGCCCTCAGGTTTCCCCAAACTCAGGTCAGGTTGGTTGAGATGCGATTCCCACTCCAGTACCTGTCAGTACCTCCTGCCATCCTGCAGCGCCATGCAGCACCCCACCTTCTTGGGCCAGGTAGCACTGAAACACAAAATCTGCCTTTGCTCTGCGACATGCTGCAACAGCCTCCTGACCTCAGCACGTTAGGGTCGAAGCACTGCAGCTATATAATATATAATTACATATATATACTATATATACTATATACCGTTCTCGGTATATATATAATATTATATATATAGTTGTGATATATACATACATATGATTTGTCACGATCTATCCCACCGTAGAAACTCCAAAAACACCGCTGTCCACTTGTGATAACATCTCACCTCTCTTTTCTGGGACTTTCACAAGCCAAAAACATCCAGCAAGTTCAAGCTGGGCAAAAAGCTTGGTTGCCGTGCCTGTGGCTCAAAGCCCAAGTCCAACATGCAATCAGCCTCGTCCAGGACCACATAGTGCACCATGGACAGCGAAAGGATGGACTGCAAATCGCACCAGAACTTTGATTCTTTGGAACAGGTTTGAATGACGTGTACATGCTACAAATAGCTATAAAATGGCTGTGAGACTGATGCACAATCAAACAAGAAACCTCCTATGATAAAACCTCGCGGGACGTCATTCCAGAAAATCCATGACGGGTCAATGTCTGTGTAAACTATGTTTGATTGGCATTGTTTGGGAATGTGAACAGTGGTGTCAGGGCATGTTTTCCCTACTCAAAGAGAAACACACGCTGATTTACAAGCATCTAGAATCTATGCACCTCCACTCCCCCTTTAAACCTTTTCAAGTCTCTGCTTGTTTTGTTGGCAATTCCTTCAAATCATTTCAACTTCTGCAATGTTTGTTTCTTGCACTGGCACTCTATCGTCCCCTCTTCGTTGCCAACCGTCCAGAAAGTGCTAAACTTGCAAGAGTACTCGTCGAAGGTCAAAGAATTGTCCAGAAAACATGTGCATTTAGCGCATCGTACATTTCATTCTTGTACTCGTGGCACCTGATATTCAGTGTCATGCTTGTTCAAAGTCTTTCCAGAGAATCTACTATATTGTTTATATATATTTATATGTTGTCAGCCTGGCCAGTGAATTTGTCGGGTTTGCTCACCAGATCGTCCAAACGGCCAGGAGTACAAATAAGTTGGTCAACACCAAAGTGTAGTGACTTGATCCTGAGCATCAAGAGGGATTCTGCACATGTTTTGCGTCAGGAGCCTTTTCTAAAGAGACTGCTCTTGGAATCTAAGTGATCTCAAAATGACCGTCATGCGAATCATGATGACCATCGCCTATACTACTTGTGCTTGAGCGCCTGGAGAAAGCAAAGCATCCGGCAGTACAACAAACAAAGGAATTAACGATACATACAAACATATACATATACATTTTAAAAAATAAAACATACTCAAGTACACTGCAACGGCCACAGTGCACTACTACCGTGCAAACCCTTTCTAAGTTCTCATGACAGCTATAGTATTTTATTATACATATATATATAAAAGGGTACAACAAACAAAAGGAACAAAACACACTGAAAAACACCTCGACAGGTTGTCAAGACCCCAAGGCTCTGATCACCTTTCGAGGTTCCACCATACAAGCATGCCATTTTGATGCCTGTGGCCTGACGAAGCTGACGGTTTCCCATGCTATAACTTCAACACGCTTGGTTGTTGCTAGTTTACCTCGCAAATGCTCCAAACAACCCTACAACACGACGCTCAGCAAATGGTTTCTCTGAGGCAGTGCCAGTGAACCAACATACTCGTACTTGTGGACAAACGATGATTCATCAGTTCCAGTTTGGTTCAGAAGCGTTTTTATGCTTCTGCTGCTGCTTATAACCAGATTTCTTGGAGGATGCCCAACAATCGCAGATCTCGTGAGCCTTGCAAAGACCAGCTGCATCTCGTGCAATCTGTAGCGCAAGCTCCCTGCACAAAGCCAACTACACGTTCCGAATGCCCATGGAAGCCTTGTGAAAAGGAGGGCAACAAAAAACAGGCTGACCTTGTTGGAGTCAAAATCAGGGCGTAAGGGCCAAATGAAGGCGTCTTTGCCTTGCTAGCCGGGGAACTTGGTCAACACAGGTGCTTTTGTTTCTTCTTGCCAATTGAACCAAAAGCAACACCAAACCAGGTTGCAAACTTGAAGGCCAAGACCCTCTGCAGGGCAGGCAAAAGGAATGCCAAGGTCTTTCCGCTGCCTGTGCATTGCAAACATCCAATCGTCCAATTACAGCTTTGGTTCTATGTTTACAGGAAATCAGCCAATATCGCTCAACTTTTTCCCTTGAGCCAAAGCGAGGGTAAGGAGGTATATATACAGTGAAGAACAATGCTTACTTAGAAAACACACCCCCCGCGGAGCGGAGTGGCTTGGCCACGGCGCGCCGAAGAGGAAGTCGTAAGCAATGTTCCAACCTCAGGCGGCGATGAGATCAAACCGCGCTACAACCCTCGAACTACTGCATTTGGATGCGGCATGTCGGCACGAATGCAAAAGCTCTTAGATTATCAGATCAAGATGAGAGCAAATATGGGAGCAATCGAATCTTTTTCTCTGATGCGGAGCTGGCGACAAGTCTTCGCTTGTGCAGTTCTGGCAAAATACCTCAGAAATTGCAATAAGCAATGAGGTTCACAAAAGAACAATGGCGATGCCTTCCGGAACGCTTGTCTCACTGGGAACTCTTACCGTTCCATGCTCGAGAAAAACGTACACAGATCGCAACGACCATCGAATTATTTGCAAGTTTAGCTGAGTGAAGGGTTTGCGGCAGAGCGTTCCCGCTCGCTTCATGAGGACATTGAAAGTATCACGCCAACGAATTTGATTTCCGGCGTGACCTTCCGGGCCGCATGGCGAGACGGCAGTTTCTGCTTCTTTTATCCCCTCTCTATCTGGCTTCTCAGCGGTTCCACCAGCCTCCCTTGGATGAGGACCACCAGTCCGAGGAAGATGACGAGGCGGCTTCGCCCTGCCACGAGGATCGCCCTGAGCGGTTCCAATCCCATGAACTTGTGCTCCAGGAACCTCCCCATCCTTGCTTCCAGCCACTCTGCCAGCTGCCTTGATACTGGCTCTTACCCTTGCCTTTGCCCTTGCCCTTGCTGCGACCCTTTGCCTCCGGGCAGTCGCGGGCTCGATGGTCGGGTGAGCCGCACTCGTACAAGAAGGCCGCCTGACTTATAAGTCGAGTTATAAGTTTCGCAAGTCATAACTTGTCGAAGTTATAAGTTAGATA